TTAGATCCAACCCCAATCAAACACACCTGAACCAGCTAATCAAGCTCTTACTAGGCATACTAGAAACTTCCCGGCAGGTGTGTTGAGGCAAGTTGGAACTAAACTCTGCAGGACACCGGCCCTCCAGGACCGAGTTTGGGCACCCCTGCTCCAGTCAATCACAACTCCAAGTTAACGCATGTACCTCACATTTCATGAAGTGGGTTCAGCTTTGCTTTTTAAACTGGAAGAACAAAGTGGCTCAGGAAAACAAACAAACATAACTTTCCCCTTAATAATAAACATTGTTTTAGTGCAACCTGTACATATCTGTTAACACGTATTAAAAAATGTGTTTTAGGGTTTCATGGCCTTAGGCTTGATATTAGGCATGCACACAATATACACAGACGCACAACTCAAACTAAACATTTTTTGTCTGGTTTGTTTTGATCTTTGTTAGATTAAGATAGATATTCGATATAACATTAGATTGATTAAGTTACTCCAAAAAAGTAATGTTACAGAGTAGCCTAGTTTTTCTAGATTGCAATAGGATTTTTTCCGTTAATTTTTTTTATTTTATAATTTTATTTTAAATTATTTTGCAATTACACTGTACAGTCATTAAATTTCTACCTAATTACTATGAATTCTTATTCTAAAATCTTTCTCTAGTTGAAAAGCTGTTGGATGTTGAAGTATAACTAATAATCTGTCCTTTGCAGCAACTCATTTCAATGTTTTCTGCATAAAATACCTAAAAAAAATCCATAGGTGCCTTCGCAAATTTTGCTGGTGGAAAACGGATTGTAATTGGTGAAAATGCCACAGCAGGTATCTTTGCCTCATATCCACACGAAGATCTTTCATTGTTAAATGGATTAATTGATCAGGTGAGTGAAACACAGTAATTCGTTATTTTAAATATCACATAATCTCACTAGTGATTATACAATGAAATTAAACAGCACTCCAATGTTAAAGTGGACATCGGATGCCAATGTCTTCATGAAATGTCTGCAACATACTTTGGTTAAAATTCGAGAGGCAGTATTAAAGGTTACCTATTATGCCCCTTTCTACAATATGTAATACATGTCCCCAGAATGTGTCTGTGACGTTTCAGCTCAAAATACCCCACAGATCATTTATTATATCATTTTGAAAGTGCTTATTTTTAGAGGAAGCAGAAACGCACTGTTTTCGTGCATGTATCTTTAAATGCAAATAAGCTGCTGCTCCCCGCCCCCTTTTCCAGAAAAGGGCTGTGCCTTTACAGCTTGTACATCAAATACTTTGCTAAAAAAAAACATCTGTTTGGTTTTGATTATCGTGTCTATCGCGCTGAAATCATGCGTTTTAAAGCCATATCAGTTTAAACTTCTGATATAGAGCGCACACATCCGACGCATGTGAGTACTAAACTAAGTTCTCTTCAAGTCTTATTGTGCTTAACCCTCTGGTATTGTTCATTTGGGAGTCACACTTGTGTTGTTCACAGTCAAAAGTAACCGGGCACCTGAAATGTAACTTTTTTTTTTTTTCTTCAGTGAAATCAATGTAATGTATTTTTTGTTCAATAATATTTTGTATTTTTTATTTTGAGAGAAATTCATGGTACTATTTAATATTTATGCAATAATTATGATCAAATTTTCCCATTGAAAATAATACAAAAATTAATTTTCTAATATTTTTTTTTACTTTTCAATTATGACAGTATGTCATGTTAAAATAGAGACAATGCCTTTAAAACGTAATTTAAGGCAGATTAGTTCCATCTGGTGGGTGCGAGTGTGTCTGTTTTGCACTCTTAATATTTTAGAGTGTCACCCCTTCATTGCTGTGCACTTTTTTTCTGAATCGTGAATGATTTGTAGATTGTACACACAAGAAATTCTTTGTATTTTCATATTTTTGCATATTTCCCATTCATTTCCAATGGCGGTCATTTTTGAATCAAGTCCACTATTTTTTTTGTGGTCACATAGTGACTGCCATTAAAGTCAGCGAGTTTCGTACCATTCCGATGAAGTAGCGATTTTTAAAATAAAAAAAAAAATAAAAAAATCTGGTCAAAAAAAACTGAACAATACCCGAGGGTTAAACTGTCAAATACACACAAGGTTATGTTAAAAACATGCTACAAAAACAGTCAGTTATGTCTGTGAAGGTAAACAGCTGGGAAAGAAATCGCATGTTTATATTAGATCTGTGTATGAAGTGACAGCAGCGTAATATGCAGTGCCTACAGCTGTCTATGCAGTTATATGACCCAAACAATAAAATAAAAACAGAAAATCACTCACTGCTCTTGACCTAATAACTTCTATAGCTTTAATAAGAAGACATTTCTAACTTGAATGCTGCTTTTAAATGCTCTAGAGTGAAAATAAACAAGGCGGATTCTGTGTGGCTCACTCAGGGAGGAGTCTTTGCTAATACGGCGGTGTCAGTCAGCAGCCGTGGGCGGTAATATTATAATAAGAACCCCTTCCTACATCAGAAGGGGAGAGAAATCTGATCAGCTCATTTTCTCACATGCTTGCAGAGAAAGGCTTACAAAACCAAACTTACTGGGTTCTTCTTTTTCACATTTTCTGAGTTGGTAGATGCACCGGACACTCAATTATAGCACTTAAACATGGAAAAAGTCAGATTTTCATCTGATGAGCCCTTTAAATTCAGACCTCATTATTGAAGCACAAATTCAAGTACCAAAAGCAGCCCACATCCTCTAAGTAAAAAAAAAAAGCATTTTCCTTCATTCATAGGCTGTATGGTTACAGGCACTATTAAAGGTATTGTGTTATGACTATGTTGTTGCCGATCTTGAGTGTATTATATTTTATATAGTTTTATGGTTATGTGGCGAGCCTGAGTATAGTTTTTACACATCAGCCCAGTCTTTTCTGTAACGTTAGTGACACGCAGAGTTGTTGTTTTTTTTTGCACATTAATCTGTCAATAAATGTGGCACACCCAGTTTTTCTGATGTACACCCAGAGTCTTTTTTCTGGCTACGCTAGTGGTGCAAACCACTGAATTGGCAAATGACCATGGAATAAGTGGGATAATCGCAGAGGCAACCACCCTCCGCTTCACGTCGGGTGATTCTTTGCCTCCTTAAACGATTCTTTAAATGCCATTTGTGCATTTAAAATCCTTTAATGCACGGCAAGCCATTGATTATCCCTTACTTAAAGAAAGGTTTTGAGAACATTCAACTTTCTAAAGACAGCATTTTTTGTTTTTTTTGTTTTAAAAAGAATTACATGGTCTTGTTCTTCTCCCAAAGAATAGATATCTGCATAATATTTAGAAACAAATTTAGAAATCATACCTACAAAATTATTACAAAAATTCTGGAGATTGTTATTCTTGTTAAAGACTCTGGTTTCTTTTTAGATTTTTTCTTATCAGTTGTGTACATTAGGTGTTTATCTTACATCTAATGTTGTTAAATTAATGTTTATTGCATTATTTAAGTATCATGTGTGTCACCATGATGGGGTTTAGTGTTTGTGTGAATGACACTGTGCACTTACTATATACTGTATTTAAAGGGGTCCTATTATGCTCTTTTACAAAGTCTTGATTTTGTTTTGGGGGTGTACTAGAACATGCTCTCATGCTTGGTGGTTCGAAAAACACATTATTTTTCACATAATTTACATTATTAAAATACCTTTCTCCCCATCCTGGCACAAACAGCTCGATTAGTTCCGGCTTTGATGAAGGTCCGCCTTCCGAAAAACAAAATGCGTTGTGTTTGGTGACTTTTTCATCACCACCTGTTTTTAGTGGTTGTCACTCGTCAGTGTATTATGTTCTTTTTGCTATAAACCACATATTAGTACTTCAGTGGGTTGGTATATTAACATATCAGTTAATGAAATACGATTTTTTTTTTACTGTGAATTTAAGTTAGGTCTGTAAAACCTAAAATGTTAATACCATATAAGTTCTGGCAACCACAGCTGCCGGTATTTTACCGTAAATGTTACCGTTTTTTTTTTTTTACAGTGTGCCCGTCTGCAGTTTGCCGAGCCTTTGAGCAATGTCAATGACATCAAATCCTTTCTGGCACGACTCCGGAGCAACTACGTTGCAGATTTCACCAACTTTCGCTTTGACATCTTCGTTTGGTTGTTCAGAGAGGCCATAGAGACGTAGGCATCAGCGTCTTTTGTAACATTCAGCATCAGCGATTCGTTCTTCCAGATTGACAAGAGATTTTTGCTGCTACTCAAATTTCTCAGCAAGCTTGGTTTTATCATTTTTAAGATCCTGAATCTCAACGTACAGGTTTTTCTTTGGCAAGGGGCTGCTCAGTGGAGTGTCAGGAGCGGGATGGAGAATTATTGGTAGGTCTCCTGAAGACGAATCAGTTGTAGGTGAGTCTGTGGCAGCAGATGAGTAGACGTAGTCTCATATTGCTTTCTTTCGTTTGTCTTTGGCGCTCATCATTAGTTGGCTTGCTGAGCCAGGCGGTTACGGCTATCTAAATCACCAGCTTAGCTTTAGTGCTTCTTAAAGAATGAGATGAAAAGTTATTTGACGGTATTACAAAATTGTTTCAAGATTGCTTTCTTAAAAGATTTAACTGATGTTTCAAAGAGGATAGAAGCAAAACCCTACAGAGCGTTTCAACACTGCTTTGGTCGCCATCTTGTTTCAACCCCCGAGATTGTCTTATTATTGGGAGATGAGAGGGTTTGTATTACTTACCATTGGAGAAAGCGTAATGGTCAACTTGGATCACGTGTGCCTTGATAACCAATCACATTACAGCCTTGACATCATTGAATTTCAGTCAGAGTTGTGCGACACTCAGTCGCCATTTACGGATACTATAGAAATGAATGAGAACTGAATCCCACCTGTCGCAAAAAGTCAGCGACTTTTCTTAAAAAAAACTCTAAAAATAGTTTAATCCAAAACTATTTTGTTTAATGGCAAACAAGTTGAAGATTAGCCGATAGGCCAGGGTTCCTCAAATCTTGCCCTGGAGGGCCAATGCGCTGCAGAGTTTAGCTCCAACCCTGATCAAACTCGCCTACCTGTGATTTTCTTATGATCCTGAAGACACTGATTAGCATGCTCAGGTGTGTTTGATTAGGGTTAGAGCTAAACTCTGCAGGAAAGTGGATCTCGTGGGCCAGATTTGAGGATCCCTGCGATAGGCTGTCGATTCATTGAATGATAAGCCGTTTCCTCACAAAAGCTGTTTATTCAGCGTAGTGAAGCCTTTCCTCCATGGGTGCAGCCTGAGCAATATGACGTCGTATTGCTCAGAAAATCAAAACACTTGATAATTGAGACTGTTTAGGTTTTTTGGGGATTAAAAAATAAAGAAGTGAATGGATTATCATCATTGTAGGGGGGATGTGTCCACACATTGCTAAAACACATTTATATGAAAACATTGACAATTCACAAAAGTGAATTTTTTTCATCCGATGTCCCCTTTAAAGCCTGTGCTTTGACTTATAGACTGTTGTGTTTTAAGAGGGGAATTAAAAGGAGGAAACAGTAAATATAAATCATTAGCATATAAATCTCTGGTAGAGAACTTTGAAAGCCCATTTCCATCTTAAGAATAAAAATAACTAGCTAGTTAGAATTATAACTAAAAAATATCTTAAAATTTCTCAATCTGACTTTATTATTTTTAAATTTCTCTCACAATTGTATTTCTTACTCTGAGGTAAAACAACCTTCCATAAAAGAATATTTTGCCGATCATTAGTCTCTATTTACAGGTGATTGGCACAGGTGCCCTGGTCCTCTGTATTTTAGCCATCGTAGATAAGAAGAATATTGGGGCCCCTAAAGGAATGGAGCCACTGGTTATTGGTCTGAGCATCCTGGCTATCGGAGTGTCCATGGCGCTGAACTGCGGCTATCCCATCAACCCTGCCAGAGACTTGGGACCTCGGCTCTTCACTGCTATGGCAGGATGGGGACTAGATGTGTTCAGGTACAGAAAACCCCCTCTGCATTGACATTCTTTTTCTTATTTTTTGTTCAGATTTTCTGCTTCTTCCCTTATCTGTATTATTGCTTATGCTGTAACAGGAAGTTTTTTTCAGGGGGTGTGTATAATAACACAATGCAGTTAGAACTGTTACCCTGTATCTAAGTGGCAAAAGTGTCAACCAGCATGTGAGAAACAGAGGCGCACCACCAACTAACGTACCGTTTGAAACTCTTAAGTGCAAAGGCCTATTACCATTCTTCTGACAGAGCAAATACATTTTTAAATGCATTTGTGTGTCGCCTGCATATTGGACCAATTTTAAAAATTTACGTGAGGCAGCCTGAATTCTCCAAAGACAGGATGCATTTTATTCTTATTAAAGGAAAAAAAAAAGTTGTCTTTTACTAAACTCTGTTTCTAGCTCGAATAAAGACTTAAGTGTTGAATAAAATAACATATGCAATACAGTACTGCTGTTTACAATCACACATGTCAGCAGTAAAAACCCTCCAAAACACTGTAGCCTTTGACTTATTGATGCATATCTGGCATATTCCAGTTTTGCATTACTGTGATATATTACATGGCTCTAAAAGTTACTTAATTCTGATTCATTCTAGTTGGTCATTCAGCTGTCAAATATTTTTTGTATATTTTGTTGTGCAGCCCTTTTTTCTCACTTTACAGCTACAGACACAGGATGATGTCCAGGAAGAGCTAATCACATATCAGTAGCCTACATGAGGAAATGCTTGATCTGTCTGTTTAATTTGTCTTCCAATTTGAAAATAGATTAGGGGTCACCTGAGGGCAAATGCTCTGGTGTTATAATTGCAACAAGCAAGCATGTACATTATAAACAGTGTACATGAAGATTACTTAAGTTCAGTTCAGCAAAGTGTCTGCATGCAGTGGCAATGCATTTGTTTACAGTTACCTTTGCCAACCTGTTTGTAGAGAAGGTTCAAGGACAGAGAGCAGCTGTATTCTCAGTAGCCTATAAAAGGATCAAGGGATTGAGGGAGGGAAAGTGTGGTACAGACGGGGAGCACTAGAGTGACACACGAAGCACAGATTACAATAAATGCATTAGTGTCTATACAGCTAGACACCAACACTGTTGACATTTTCCACCAGTCTGACAGCTAAACAACACTTCAACTCAGGATACACCTGTGATGTACAGGCACATTCCTAACCACTCATTTTTGTAACAATCATGGTTGTCCTGTCTACTTTAACCTGTGTGTCCTGAATTAGATTGAGAATACTTTTTAAATTCTAATTCAGTTCCAAATTTGAACTGAGGTTGTAAAAATGCAGTTGTAATGGACAATTGATGTAGATATAAAATTTAACAACATTCAAAGAAATGCATTCTACACATTCATATTTTGTCCCATTAATAAACATTAGATACAAATTCTCAATATGCAAAATTCTACCTATATAAATTTGCATTTATTTAGAAGTATTTGGACAATTTGTGCAATATTTGTTCGCTTAAAACACCTAAACATGACTGAATGTCATTGCATGAAATGGGAAATATTAAAAAGAGTGGCATCTGCATCTTTGTAATGAAATTAATTCTTTTATTGAGCTATAATGCATTCAGTTGATCAAAAGTGACAATAAACACATTTATAATGTTACAAAACATTTCTATTTCCAATCAATTCTGTTCTTTTGAACTTCTATTCATCAAAGAATCCTAAAAAATGTATCACATTTGCACAAAAATATTGAGCAGTACAACTGTCTCCAGCATTTGATAATGAGAAGAAATGTGTCTTGAGCACCAAATCAGCATCAGTAGAATTCTTTCTGAAGGATAATGCGACATAAACTGCCTAGAAAATTGCCTTATTAACATAAGATATTTTTAAATTGCAATAATATTTCACAATATTACTTATTTATAATCAAATATATGCAGCCTTGGTGAGGATAAGAGAAAAAAATGAACCCAAACTTTTAAACGGTAGCGTGTATGTATATATGAATATATAAAGCAACAAACAAACAAAAACAACTTAAGTAATCTGTTCTTGCCCATTTGGTTGTTGTGATCGACTAATGAAAGTTTTACGAAACTTGTGTGACCGTGTTGAATTTCTTTGAATTTCAGTAAATTCCTCTTCCTGTCATTCCAGTTCGAACTCTGTGTGTGGCCAATTCAATTCTAACTGAAAACTTTCTTTAGAATACTTACATTCAGAATTGTTGCCCAGTCCTAACTTTATTCTCATCTTCAGGGCTGGAAATGGCTGGTGGTGGGTTCCAGTGGTCGGGCCGATGGTGGGTGGTGTGGCTGGGGCAGTGATCTACTTCCTGATGATTGAGCTGCATCACCCCGAGCCTGAGAAGAACCTTGAAGACGACAACAGCATCAAAGATAAATATGAATTGAACACCGTAAACTAGAAGGAGAGGGAAAGTATGCTATCTTTTCCTTCACCATAGACCTCAAACAAAAAGCACTGCTATTTCTACGTACCCTCTCCTTCTCTGTCTTTTCTTCTAGATGTCTTTTCTGAGTCTTTTGCCAAGTAATTTCATGAAACCAAGCAGCTATGAAAGACAGCATAATTCTAGCTTTTTTCATGTTCTAAAGTTTAACTATAGAAAATTTCCAAAGATCACCATTCATTCTATCAACACATAGCGACAACAGAAATAATCAGGTATTTAATATAAAGCATCCACAGTTTATGAGTATTTACCATCAGTAAGTGTCACACCACTGCCAGTAACAGATTACAGGTGCTAACTGATCCTCCATATTAACAACTCTGGAATGTATATAGAGATAATCAGAATTTTCGACTGGTTTCTCAGGTTTCCTTTCCTTTAAGATACAGCCAATGCAGGTTGTCCAGCCTCAGCCAGAGAGAGTTGAACCACTCCAGGATAGTACCTATAATTTTTCCTTCCTTCCTTTTTCTAATCCTCCTACTATTTGTCTTAACTTTCACAGACATCTGATAACCCTATATCTTGCCATAAGCAGAAATATGTTTTTCTCTCACTGAAATGAAAGAAGAGGGTACTTTACTTTCCACTCTATTTACTCAAAAGACGAACAGGCCTCCTTGTCTGTAAACGATTAAGTCAGTACGAATCAAATCATGTTTTGATTCAGACATGAATCAATACAAAACATGAATAGATGAGCAACCAACTGCATGCATAACTGCTGATAAGGTAACATGCATGAGGTAACAGAATGATCGTTGCAATGCATGTTAAATAACTATTATATATATGCTTAAGAAGAAATAAATGTGTATTATGCAACGTGTCAAAACGTTGAAGAAAATGATTGCATCAGAACTTACAGGAGCAGTATTGTGTATATCACATAACGTGATCTTTTTAATGCTTCAGTAGGTATTTCGTAGCTATTGTTTGTGGAAAAAAAAAATTATGTTTCATATGTGTTTTTTTCCCTCTTTTTAAAAACGTTATAGTAATTTATTTATCGGCACTTAAATGAATTCATAGCAGTTGTCTGTACAATAAATTCAAAGAGATCCTATTATATATTTCAATATTTTTGTCTTTTTAATCCTGTTCAGGTTCAGATTTATTTACTTGCTCTCTCATAAATGAAATATTTATTAATTACTCCATTCAAAATGTTGAAGATAGTATTGTCATTCTGCTAATGTAGACATAATTAAATAAACATACTGTTATACATATTTCATGTCTTTTTTTTTTCTCGTGTGAATGAGGATTAGAACACGGCAGTCACTATTTCCTATATGTCTGTATTCTACAGTACTGCATCACAGTCAGTTTAGTCCTGTCCTGAGATACACTACACATCTAATGTACCTTCTTAGGTAATGGCAACCATGTTTGCAAACCGATACACATAGTACATTTGTGAATTCATTTACTTAGAGAAACATTAATTCACCTCAACATATTCAGTCTAAACAGAAGACCTGTGGATAAACCACATCAAATGTACAAAATCACCCTCCACTTGTTCCAAACCTGTATGAGTTTCTTTCTTCTGTTGAGCACAAAAGGAGATATCTTGAAGAATGTTGGTAACCAAAAAGTTGACGGTAGCCATTGACTTCCATAGCATTTTGACTGTTTGGTCACCAATATTCTTCAAAAATATCTTCTTTTGTGTTTAACAGAAGAAAGAAACTTGAGGGGGAGTAAATGATGACAGAATTTTCATTTTTGGGTGAACTATCCCTTAAATAGCATTAAAAATGAGGAGGAAGAGATCAAACAATAAAATAAACAATTCTGACTGCACTTATCTGCATATCTGACCTGATTTAATCATTATCACTGTCTGACCATCAACATCAGCTCACTGTCCACTGAGTTTATGCATAGGCCTACATGCCGTCCGTTTCTGCTAACTAGACTGTAATATGTTCATCAGCCAACCATTCTATGAAACAACACATCTGCAACATGCTGTATGGGTAAAATGTGTAAAGTTGATTAGAATTTAGAAAATCATCAACAGCATGATCGTTGAGAAGAATTACGTAACCTATTGAATTACTACTTAACCTACAGAATTTCTATAACCTATACATAACATTTTAATGTGAGAATCAGTCAGAAACAGTTTTTTGAACAGAAATTAGTCTTTAATGACATCTAACAAGGCTAAAATGATAAAAGAGCTTACACACACAAACTGGGTTTCCATGTTTTATGTGGGCATTCCATTGGCGTCATTTTTATATTGTATAACCTGTATTTTCTATCCCCTTCCCCTAACCCTACCCCTCACAAAAAAACCTTCTGAACATTTAGATTAAAAAAACAAAAACAATTTTATATGCTTTATTTTATAAACTTACTCAATGGGACCAAAAAATGTCCCCCCAAAGACAAGGATTTTGGATATTGCCATCTTTGTGGGGACATTTTGTCCCTATAACATAGGGTAAACACAAACCATACATCACACACACACACA